TAGAAGAGCTGACGTGCATTACCATAGCATCCTATGTGTGATAAGATTTTACTTTTGCAGTAAAAACATGTAACAGTTTCTCTTCTATTTTGTATTTGCTTTTGGAACACCCATTATCAGTATGATATGAGGTTCTCACAGTGATGAAGATGCCGATGTTAGTCATCCGAGTTGTCACATTGAGTGGACCTGTAGTTACATACCAGTGTTTTTGGAGGAACATACTGCCTCCATATTCAGAGTTGAAGACTGTTATGAAGACCATACTCATATATTATACTGGTACATGTCATCTATACAGAGCCGTAAGGATCTTGGCACCAATGTTGCACTTATTTTACTTTGAATTTCCTATCACTCAGAATGAACACCACAAATTTTCCGATGGGTATAGGCAGAGCATTTTGTTCGTCGGCTCTCCCTTCTGTGACTAAATATTTCCTAACAATAAGTTGTGTACTAACTTACGTGATAAATCTTCAGTTTAAGCAGGTTCTAGAAGTGTCCTTCTGACTCTTACTGGCATTAAAACAGTTGGTGCATGCTGTCTATGCCATTGTTGTTACACATAAATATGGTAGTCACCTGTTTTAGGAATGACATAATATTATAACCACCACCATATATGCCAGATGAATGGTGTTAGTGTATAAAAGTGCATTCAGTCAAGTACAAACCTGTTATTAGGCTTTAAGAGTTGCCAAAGAGTAGCATTTTTGTATTTCTTGGTTACAAGACTGCATAAAACCTTGAATATCTCTGGGTAAAGAAAATGTCTTTGCAATTATATCTATTGCATTTGAAGCTCCACTGTCGCACTCATTGCGCAAATCAGGATCCATCTACAATGGCAATAACTATTCCCAGTGTTTCATTTCAAAAAATGTTGTTTCCTTTTATCTTGTATAATCTGTAGTTTGAAAACCCTAAATTTATGCAAAATTATGATTTTTCTCTGCATAATTTATTACATTTTATTCTCTTCCTCTGCACCTAGCATGATGAGACTAGACGTTGAAGAATGTCTTCAATCAGGGTTACTTTGAGTATTTGTACCACATACTTAAGTATTATTGGGTGAATTTTTAACTGACCATATATTTTGTTTTTTTCTGAGTATCAGTAATGACACTGAATGTTATGTTACATTGCATCCTGGGCCAACTTCACACAGATCTTGGATATGCTACAAGTTGCTCTGTGTCAATGATGCCACCCAGACAGCACACTATTGGGAATAATTGTGCCTGGTTTCCTGATCTAAAATGTAGAGGTAGGGAATTTCCCATATTTGACAGATAAAAATATGTGTTCAGACGCAGATGTAATTGTAAAGCAATAAATATGAATTTATCGATTTACATAACTTAGATCTACATGTTATTAATGAGTCTGGCAGAAATGCAAGTAACATGGTATTTGAATTGTGTGCAGGTACTGGCATGTTGTGATGGGCCCTCGTGAGTTCCAAAACCTATATTAGCAGTTGTAGCTGACTTGTGTCATCTCTCAGGGTTCAGATCTTTGTTTGTCATGTATTGTACAGTAAATCTAGATTAATAGTGAAGGCTGTGTTCATGCATTCTATACAATTAAATTTAGCTTTTTGCAAAGCTGACATTCGTGATCCTCAGAAATGTATTTACGGTTGCATGTGATCTTCAGTGACTCCTTCCTATATTTCTGTTTAGTCTGTTTGTGGACACAGTCTTCCTTAGGGTTCAGTTTTCTTTAAAAAATTAACATTGGTAAGTTTTGATAATCACTGACTTTTAGAACCATGTACCCAACATATGTAAGTGATGAAATATTGTAAGCTCGTACTAAATACTATAATTGTTCCTACCCATCTGACATCTTCTGGTTTGACATGCATCGTATCAATGAAGAGGACAACAAAAGTATACTAATGCGCATATTTTAATGCTGAATTTAACCTTATATTAAAAACATGGAGAGAAGTGACTGAAATCTAACTTACAATTAAAAGAATTAGTTGTCATAAATGCTGTGTCAAACATGTATATATAAGATCAACTCCCTTGTAATGCAAGTGACAGAAATGATGTGGTTGGGACCAAGTTCTTGAGGCAAGTAACACATACACTGTACATGCTTTTTAATAAATGCCTCAGCATATTTTGAATTGTCACTCCTCTTCTCAAAATGTCTGAACTTAACTGCACTGACAAAAATTATATTATTGTATTGTGATACTCGGGAGAACATGGGTACATGGTTCTTGAAAATTGAGTTTCCCAGTGTAATGTTTCTTCTTATACAAACTACAGGATGTAGTGTGAGCATTCAGAATTCATGTAGTAACAGAAAGCATTCATCATAATGGATATGCTTTGACATGCGTTATAAGAGCTGTAAAACAGAATGAAGCAAATAACTAATATGTATTATATTAATCATAGGATATTCAGTATCTCTCTACTGCTGTTGTGTAGACTAGTTACTTCAGTCTTAGCAAATAACACAAAAATTCTGAAAATAAAGAATTGTGATGCATATAATTATATATATAAACATACACAGACAAGAATGTGTGTACATACAATATAAATATGATTACATGCATTCCTCAAAGTGTGCATTACTGGATCACTTATCTCTTGCCATTGTAATCTAATGAGGGCAGATTAAATTACATTATTCTAGCAGAAATGAATTAATATAAATTTCAATTAACTTAAATTTTAAAGAATGCATACAGTACTGAATAGTTTGTGTGAAGTAAAATTTTTCATTCCAGGCAACTTCTTAATATAACCTATTAATTCAATTGTGAATCAGTAATCAATAATGAAGTACGTTAACCATTCATTCACTCACTGTAATCTTTCTTCATATGATTAAGCAAAACAACTCTCCAGTTGTTTATCTAAGTAATTCTAGTTGTCAGTCAGTTGTCCATGTTTACACTTTGTCACAAATAAAAATTCTTTCCCCAAACTGGCCAAAAGGAACTCCAAAAATTAAGGGTTTTGCTGTTACATTCCTTCCGGAGCAGATTGAGCTTCACTGTTTACTTGGTGTTCCACCTTTTGAACACCTATGTCTGTGTAACTTATCACCTTCCCCACATTCCTACATATCCTACTTTTGAGCTTCCTTCTATAAATTTTTTCCAATGATCCTTTGGGTGCAGTGCCTTGTCCTATTGCCCTCTGACACCCTGTCTTAACTTTGAATATTTGTAAAACTGAACTATACTGCATGCATTTATCTTGTATAGTTTTAAGTCCAGAAAGTATTTAAACCATGTGGCAATGTGATATATGAATTATACTGTATTTCAGTTAATTGAATCTTCAATGAAAACTTGAAATCTCATGGAACCTGAATTTTAAATTTAGGACTATACTTGATCTACATGCATGACAGCACTGCACCCAGGCCCCAGGTGTACTTTGACAAATACAGGACTGATGTAAACAACTGTGCAAGAGAGAAATAAAGGCATAGTGTATGGTTTGAAGATTTTTCTATCCACTCTTCCTTGTTTGAGATAAAGGGAAACTGTTTACTGCACACATTTTCAGATATTCTTTGAAACTCTATGAAAGTATCACTGCTGATATGTAACATATAAATCTGTATGCCCATTAAAGAGATAGGTTTATCAGGTGACAGATAATGTAAATAATGGGACCAGTTTCTCCCACTGGTGAAAATGTTTATGTTTGTCTTCTGGGTTGTAATGCTGTGTGGATTTCTATAGGTTGTTAACATTTTAGATAGAGACACTTCTGGTAACAACACCTTTGCATTTGGCATATGAAAGTCATCTGTGTGCCTTATGTTTATAACTTCTCCATTTATTCTCATCTGGTCTGACCACTCAGCTACCCTGACTGAGGTTTTCCGTGCTTTTCCTCAGTTGTAAGGCAAATTCCAGGGTACAATTCAAGAGGGGCACGGCGCGCTAACCCCAATCACGGAGGCCTTCAGCCGAAGCGACCCCACCGTCTCTGGGTTCAAACCCCAGAGAACCAACCAAGCAAAATCCTTTGCACGAAAGACATGTTGCCTGCCGTGATAACCTCTCATCAGTAGCAACAGACCCCAGTTTGAATAGCCGAGGCTCCCACCACGACAAAACTCCGATTTTGTTATAAGGTTCTGTTTACCATTTCTAGCAATGCTTTTCTACGCAGAAATGGTGTTACGGTTCACAGATCAGGAGAAAATCCCAGCTAGGATGCGCAAGATTTCGCGGTAAGTGACGACCCATCCTAAAAGCATTCGTTCCACAACCACTGAACGAACAACAAACGACAGGCTTTCATGTGTTCTAATGGGTACAGCTTTAAGTTAGCTAGCTTCTTAGGTTGGTACAGCATGGTGCAGTAGACGATAAGAAATAGAAGCGAACGAAATGGATTTGAAACTCGTTGAGGTTAAATTCTCTCCTTTATAATCTGGACATTTGATCCTACTAAGGAAGTAAGTATATATTGAATTTGACGTGTAAAGCAGTACGGAACTTTGAGGTTGTGTTTATTATTAACACCTATATTTTAATATAATACGTGTTACGAAACAAATTATAAACTGGAATGACTTACAGAATCCGAGAGTTTTGCAATCCGACTGTCTGTAGAATGCATAATATGAAAAAGTAAAGTGTGGATATTTAAAGTGACATTCCACATTGCTTATTTTCGTAATTCGTAGTTTTCAGTGGTGTTCAGGGCTATGTGCTTGTTTATAATGCAAGGAGTGGTTATTATTGAACAGTGACTGAAGTTGATGTAGCAAATTGATGTATTATGTGAAGCTTTCACAGCAGCAGTAGTTGATAAAATCCTCTCAGGCTATCAGCCATGTCAAATGGTCTAAAGCCATATATGTTTGTCCTGAGGTGAAAGGATGCTGTTCCCTTGTTTAGAAATTGGCTAACTGCCAGTAAAATATTTCACTCTTAAGCCATCATTCCTTAGTAATTCCAAGAACAGAATATAACCTGCGTCCATGTGCCTTACCTAGTGAAGGAGCAAATGAACCATAAATCTTACCCAGTAGCTCCTACATGGACAGATATCACTGACAGAAGAAGCTAGACTCTTGTTTATACAAAATATTAAAAGTGTATAATACATTCCTAAGTATATAAGTTATAATTTTAATAAAGAAATAAATCAATGCATAGAGTAAACAAGTGTTGGGTATGAGATTTGGAGAACTGTACCTAGTTTTTTCTTAATCATTCTTTCATCATTACAAGCAGCTAATAGGGATAACATTTTATAAAGGAATAAATCATTTTTGCATGTGGAGTTAGTATTCACAAACTTCAATAGGCACTATGCAAAGGTGTTGGTATATAAAATACCATTGAATCAGGATTTGGCAACAAGAATATATTTTATTTCTCAGCTTTTAATGAAGTATATTATAGTTCATTGCTCTGGAGTACCTACAATGAATTTCTTGTTTGTTCTTTTGCAGTGATGACAGTTCCTGATGTCTATGTCAACCAGCACAAGCCCATGATTCAGTAAATGAATATGAAATTAAATAGTGAACATGAGCCACCAGTATTTGAATTTAGAACTTCAAAATTCATGACATAGAGGACTCACATTTTTCATGTGTAAAAGTCATTTCAAGATATATATATATAAAAAATGCATCAGAAGAATCAAGATGTTAATTTTTACCCAAAATAATCTTCTATAAAAACATTTTCATTTGTGACCATGGCAGTTTTACACAGAGCACTGTTTACATGGTTTATACTTTTAGTATTTTTAATCTTGCTTGTTCTCAGGTTAGATTCTCGTACTCAGTGGAACTGGTTTATTGTGTTTGTCCCATTATGGATTTATGATAGCATTCTACTTATTTATGTGCTATTTAACATGATTTCTCTCTGCAAAAACAGTCATGAAAGGATGTCTATTGTGCGGAGAAAAGTATGGTATATTATGGCTATCATATTTAAAATGGCAACACAGATTATTTTATGCCTAAAATTGGAGTATCCTTCTTGGAACATTTCTATAATTCTTGTTATGCTTCCCATGTGGATTTTGTTCCCAGTTTTGCTTATTGATGTGTTTATGACTTTGGTAATTCAAACCCATTATTAGCAGATTATCTGAGCATACTAATGAATTCATGCCAATGGTGCAAGTAAAATAGGTAACAGATTTAGCATTTGCATAGACTCATCTTATACCAGTATTCTGTGTCCAAAATTGGCAGAGCACACACGATTAAAATGAACTTAAGACAGCATCCTGAAAATTTTCTTCCATTTATGTAATTCACCATGTCATTTCATCACAGTAACTCTTTAAGAACAGACCAGCTATAATACAACTGTATTTACATATGTATTTAGTTTAGTTAATGCAGTTCATTGGCACTGTAATAATATTCATTGACATGTCAGTTTTGTTTCATTTGGATTGCAAAGGTTTGACAATAGGCCCACACGGAAAGCTTTTTTTTTTAGGATTTAAGGTGAGGTACTCTGACGATAGAGGCATCACATCCCTCTACTATGTACACATAATTGAAAGACTACATGGTGCAGCAGCCCAAGAGACCCAAATTGGTTTCAGAATTCTTTGTAAAAACATGGCAAGATATTGATTCTGAAGTTCCTGATGATGGTGTAATATAATCTGGATTGTTGGGTTTTGGACCTTGTTCATTGATGTTATAAAAAACAGAACATTTTGAGAACTGGATCTAGCCTCATCTTCAGGAGTAGTGAAGGGGGTACCTGCACTGTGGGGTCCATTACAATGAGCTAATTCCAAACACTGGACATCCATTGATTGGGATTAGCTTCACTACACCTGAATACAAGGCAAGATCCAATTCTCGAAACTTTCTGTGTTTTGTAACATAAGACAATGAACATGGTCCAAAAGCCCAACAATCCAGATAACAATATATCATTCTGACATCATTTACAATGGTGTACTGGTACTGTTAGCTACATATGTTGTTTTCTTTATGCGCTCAATTCAGTAGTTGGTCCTTTGGTCAGTGATGGTGTTTGACTGTAGTAGGATGATTAATACAGTTTTATATAAATCATCAAAAATTGAAATTTGTAATAAAAACATTAGATGCAGTATCTGAGAAATATAGTTTTCCAAGATACCCTGAGCCCTGCAATTTGGACATTGTCCTGAGCCAGTTCCATCCTAACAGTCCAAGTCCAGCCAGCCTATACTCTCATCCCATTTTGTCTTACAAGTAAGCACATTCCAAGATGTCTCCCTCACCAAAATTATGTATGTATTTATTTTTCCTCTGTTCAAACTGTATGCCCACCTTATCATAGCCTCCTAGATGTCACTGTCCTAAAATATGGTATAGTTTAGGTGTAAAAATATGAGGCTCATTTGAACAGGGTTGTCTCAGCAGCAGACTTGCCTTGTTTGATTGTTTGTTGGTACTTTATTTGGGCATGTCACTGAGTTTATGATGTGATTGGTGTCCATGCTTAGGGCCCCCTTCATCATTTTTGACTATTGGACACAAAATTGTATTTAATCAGATCCTGCTGATAAGCTGAAAACGGTTGATTTCAAAATCACCTGTAACACCCCGTCCTTTGTAGCATTATCCATGGTACAACTCATCTACGACTCTTTTCGCCTTTACATCATGATATCATCGTTGAAATCATCATTCGGTTACGTTAATATATTTCGTTTATCTGTGTATAATATTGTCTACGGACCCGTGGAATCCTTAGAATTATTGCCTTTGCTTGGACTGGATATTCGAAATGTTAGGTGTGGAATAGTGAAAATTTGTTCGCGTTTTCTGACAAATGTAGTAAAAGTCTCGATAATGCCTGTGATATAACTTTTGTACGTGCAGAAGCAGGGAGAATCTAAAAATGTTGGCGGGAGTAGAGTGGGATTACAACAGACTGGAAGATGGAACACACAGTACGTAATTCACAGTTTCGTTAATCTAAAGAAACACCGGTAGGTATGTCAGTGAATGTATTCATCCAAAATGACAGGAGACTACAAAATTGCATGATGATGAACTTCATAACAAATATTAGGATTCACTAGGTGAACAACTGTTAGTTTCTAAGGAAGGACTCAGCTCAGTGGAGTTATGTAATTGATTTGTTGTGTTTGCCCACTTTCTTACTTCCGTATTACACATAAACTTTAATTTAATAATTCCTCAATCAAATATTTGTTGTATATAATGAATACATTATTGTGTTAGTGTACGCATTTCTTCCAAATGGAATTAATGGACATAGTGCAAAAAATAATGGTTATGTTAAAAAATGTACAAATTGTACTTAGATGTATGCAGGCTTTAAGCAAACAGACTACTATCAAACTTCTGCATGCTTCAAAGTCCTCTTTACATGACAAAAACAATTTCTGATCTAAAAGAAAAGAGTAGTAACTATCTCTATGGAACAGAGTTTCTTTCGAGTAGTTGTAAGATTCTAAGATGCTTACATAGTCAGTGTTAGCTAACGTTTCACATTTCAGAAATTGCTGGTGAAATCCAGTTACGGACATACGGTCAGTTTCTTGAAGAATATGGTGCTCAGCTTAAAGGGATTGAAGAAGCTCTAGAAGACAGTGTGTGTGATTCCTGGGATGTGAGTCTGAACCCTATCTCCCTGCAGGTAAAGTACTGTATGTTCTTGTTTCTAGTTGAGTACTAATATAAAGAATTAAATTATCCAGCTTACAGTTTTATTATAATACCGTTTTCGTAAAACTGTATTAAACATTTGAAGATGGCTGTCTTCTGAGATGTACTGTATAGTCTGGTAGATACTGACTGACATTTCAGAGAAACTTATTCTCTCCATCTTCAGGGCTGCATCTTGAGCTTAAATATTCTTCATCTATGGCGCGACAGCCCAAAGTTGAGCCTTGGCCTCCTTCTTAAATGTTGGTAACTAATTACAAGTTACTAGCCAGAGGACCAGCATTAACAATACAATATAGTATGATACAAATTGCAGTTGACATAAACCCTTCTTACTGAGCACCAAAGAATAATTTTTTGGTAAAGAGAAACAAAAGCTTTCAAACATATATCTATTTCTTGTGTCTTAAAGATTTTGTCAATGTAAAGTGCTAAATCATAGCCTCCATTTGGCATGTTAAAATACATTGTCTATTGCAGGTTTTTGTATTCATTCATATTAAATTGTTAAAGGTTTTAAGTAATTTATGTGGTGGTGGTGGTGGCAGCACATTTGTATTTTATTTCTACTAGATTACACAAGAGTACATACATACAGCCTTGTTTTCTCTTGTGTTTCTTTCCACTTGAGTATCCTGAATTCCAGTTAAAGAGCCCAGTTTCAGGAAGTGACATGCATTATTTCTTAATTTTCAGTTTGTGCCATATGAACGTACAACATTGTTGCAGCTCATAGACACTGATAACAAGGTCTTAAACAAAATTTTAGTTGTGTTTGCAACTTTGTGTGCTGAAGTGAGATATTTGCAATCTGAAGCTAAAGACAAATACTATGATATCATTCTCTTCTATGGTGAAGGAGGTACGTGCACAGCTGTTATGTACAGTATGATTGATCGTTAATTAAAAGATCAGAACAAATATAAATTTATTAGAATGTTTTTAACCTGCAGAATATATATAAAATTAAACACAAATTTTTAGGATGGTTTTGAATGGTGATTGTAGATTATCCCAGGGTAATATGAAATCTGATCAGAAACATTGAGACTGAATTCACATCTCAGAGAATTTTCACTGTGCAAGGAAGTGGCTGAAATAAATATATCCTGAGGTGTTACTTCATATCTTCTTATCTAGGTGTTTATACAGCTCGTTTTATTGCCTTCTGTAATTCACAATCAGTGTTTAAATTCAGAACACTTTGTTTTGTCAGGCGTCAGTTTAATGATGTCTGTGAATACAGAACAATATATGTGTGTCAGATTTTGTGAGAGGTGACAGCCAGAACTTATGAATTGGTGTAATTTGTTTTCAGGAGAAGGGAATTTGCAAGATGGTGCTGCCCAGTTGCTTGTGAGCCGAATGCTGCCTCACCTACAGGAGTTATCTTGTTTTGTTAAACGTTGTGAGCAGGTAGCTGTGCAGATAGTGGAACAGCTAGCAGCACTTTACAGTTCCTCCAAAGATGCTCCACACATTATCAATGCCACAGGTATCCATTTTCAGGTATGGCTTCACATGCTCAAAAATGATGTGGATTAGTGGTTTGCATGATTTAAATTTGACACTAAATCATATTCAGTATTTTATGAGACTTCAGTGCTAGTAAGATTTAAGAAAAGTTTAATTTTTTGTGCTAATCTCAAAACTAATGATTTTTACATGGAACATTTTGATGTTTTCATGTGACGCTCCAACATCCTCCTATAAGCTTAAATATTCTCATCACAAAGAGAGATGGTGCATGCAGATCTCAGAAACTGTTGAATGGTTTTGTGAAAATTAACTGTTGTGACTTGCACATCAACCTCTTATACGAGTTGGTTACAGACGAGCAAGGGATGTTGGCTGTTGCGTATTGATTATTGAGTTTGTTAGAACATGTCTTGTTAACAGAGGGTCTATGCCCAAATCTGAATTGGATAACAGTTTCCACTGTGATTTGCCCTAGAAATTGTATATTTCATTCCCACTTACATGATCTTGATATGTGTTTGTGCGTTACAGGATGTGTTTGAACACCTTGGAGATATTCTGGTTATACTATTAACACTTGATGAAGTGCTTGGTAACCATAGCACACTGCATGACCATTGGATAATTTATAAACGGACACTGAAATCAGTACACCATGATCCGTCAAAATTTGGAGTTGAGTTGGAGAAGCTGAAAAACTTTGAAAACCTCCTTTCTAAACTTGAGAATCATTTGCTAACTGGAAAGATTTTCCAGGTATGTTATAGATTTCTAGAGTTTAGTTTCCAATTTCATAAACTTGTTACATGTATAAATGTTTTATATTTGTTAAATATTCAACTTCTAATGTAATGAGGATTGCATTGAACAGATTCAAATGTTCATATAATTTGAAGTGTAAGATCTATATTTTCATGTAAACTGTACCATACATGTCAGAAACAAAGCGATTTCTGTTTTCAGAATTGAAAAGTTGTAAAATAACCTGAATAGGAATAGGAAGATGACTTTGTTTGGGATGGGTGAAGCTTTCTGGTTATGATCGTGACATGGTTTGTAATTAAGTGGAAAGTGTTGCACCACAAAGATTACTAACGTAGGTAGTGGAGTATGATTAGTGTAGGCCATACTGGCTGAAATTTTGATCTTAATTTTTCCCCAAGTTCCTCCATAAAAGTGCACACTTTGTTGTTTTTTGTTGATTTAAAATATAACACAGAACTTCAAACAATATTTTGTACGTTCATACATTTCATAATACGATAAAACCTTCTTGGTCCAGACTACATGGGGAAAAGATTAGGCTGGATTTGGCAGTAATCTGGATTAGCGAAACATATGTGATATTTGAGACTGAAAAATTATATTGTAATTGTTACAATATGCAAACATTCTGAGTCGTTGTGCAGTAATTTCAAAGGAAACTCAGGTGATATTAATATTGGGAGAAGGGACAGTGCGCATAATTTTCTATCTGTGTTGCATAATTCCTCAATTGTAGGTTGAGATAAAACATTGTCAATAATTAATATGGTTTTTATGTCTTTCAGAGCTGTCTTCAGTTTCTTTATTTGAAATGTCCTAACTTTTGAAGGTGATTGAATTAAGCTATATCCAGAGTTATTAGGTCCAGGCTGCCAAGTTTTGAAGTATTAAACTATTCACAGCTCAGATATCATTCAAAATCTGTATTTTACTGTGTGTCTGAAAAGTTATGTATTTTTCATTTGACAGTTATTAGACCTTTGTTCAAAAGATGGTGAAGATTATAGATAATTCTGTAAGAATTCTGTTCAGATTTACTCTGTTTTTTAATATTAAAGTAACTTCCTTTTGTACAGACAGACAGAGAAAATAAATGTGTGTCTGTGCATACATGAACATGTGTGTGTATGCATACACATATTGTCAGTTTTTCTGTCAGTTTAAAATATGATTTAAGCATAAGAGTATCAGACTGAAGGTGTGTCCAGTTTTGAAATGTGTTTTATATTACAGAAAATGGTAGAGCAGTCATTTGGTGGGACAAAAGGGTTTATCAGCAAAAATATCTCTCTGGCTGAAGAATTTAATCTGTACTTGAGAAATGCCATCACTGTTCTGGAAATGAAAGCCGTAGATCTGCCGGACTCTGAACATTTGATGCTGTGGGTAAAACTCAGTGCTCTGTATGTACTCAATTTCAACTTGTTTGGAACAGTTGACAGGAAATTGTTCAAACAATTGTGGGATCTCAATAAAAGGGTAATTTGATTGTATATCTTTCTGTTATTTTTAAGAGCATAATAAAAGTGTAGACACTGGATAAGTATCAAGATGGCTGTCTTCCGAGTTGCAGCATCATGTAGTCTGGTAGAAGTTTACCAATGTTTCAGAAGCACTTGCTGCCTCTGTCATTGCTTTGCATTGAATTCATTGACTAGGAATAGGGGTTTCCTGTTTGAAATTGCAAGAGTTTTTGTCATTTTAGTGACCCTGTATGATATCAACATTAGTACAACTTTCTTAAATCATGTTTCTAGGCTACTTTAACATAATCAATATGTATGAAGTTTTATTGCATCAACTTCTTATATAATAGCCAATATCTGTATTAGCATGCCATTGTGTGATGCAGAAATAATTAAAATTTAAGTTCTGATGTGACTCTGGTAGCAAGAAATGCAAATGAGGCTATGGTGGAGTCTAGCTGTGTCAGTGTTCTGGATTGAAGCAGTCAGTTCGATGATGGTGTGTTTGGTTGGAATCTGGCTCCTTTTGCTGTGAAAATGATAATAAAGATAATGCTTCTGTAATTTGTGTTAGTGTTCAAAACATAAGTATTCATTCCTGTCAAATTTGACAGTCATACTTTGCTACTGTCGGCCTCGATGGACTAGTGGTTAGCGCGCTTGCCACTGGACTGAAGGTTCGCGGGTTCGATGCCGACCGAGGTCAATGGATTTTTAAGGGTGATAAAAATCCGTAGCACAACTTCCTTCGGAGGGGAAGTAAAGCCGGCGGTCCCATGTCTTAGATTTACGGCATGTAAAAGAACCTTACGAGCATGAACGAGATGTTTTGTAAGCAGAATTCAGCGGCCATTTCTCACCCAAGTCTCTCCTGATTCACTTCTAGATGGCTCTGGCAGTCAAATCGGATTGAGTGGAAATTATGTAGTCAGTGGGCTTGTCACTCACTATGTATAAATGCACGCTTCAAAGACTAAGAAACCATTACTGGGTTAAGCTACTAATAGATAGATAGAATTTGCTACTGTCCACAATAATTTCTGATTTTATGGCTTTCAGATTCCAGCAGTCACCTTGGTAGGAAACATTCTGTGGTTTCCAGAACAGTTTCTTTTAACACATTTGACACATATGGCTAAACTTATAGACAAGAAAACCCAGCAGATTGTGCAGACTCGTCGGCAGGCATATCTTCAACAGAAAGCTCAGAGTTTACCTAAGGAAGTTCGGACATTTTGTCTTCAGGTATCATTTGTAGACAGTGCTATTGAAATGTAAAATTCACTGTTAAATAGTGTATCTCATCTCTAAAGACTTCAGTTATACTAGTGACTAGCAGTAGGAATATTGAACCTTCAAACGTGCCAGAAAAGAAAAGCTCGTGTATGCTTTACATTTATGTTTCGACATATATGTGAAACTAAGCAGTTATGTGTTTCAGCCATGATGTAACGTACTCTCAATTTGTAAATATTTAGTTCATATTCAGTTAGGCACTGTGTGAATCTCAGAAAAAAGGTAAGACAAAGGAAAGTCAAGGAATTTTTTGTTGGATTAAATTAAAAGTATTCTGGAAGGGGAAGAGAATATAGAAAGGTTGGTGGTAATACATGATTTAAGATGAAGAAGATATATTCTGAGGAATGTTGCATGCTGATAAAGGGAATTCAAACCCCCATACTGTGGGACTGCTGACCAGATTTTAACTCGGGGTTAACAGTTTGGCAGTATGCTACTTGCAATGCTTGATCAACTGGAATGAATCTAAGCCATGGTGCATGGCCAATAAATGTTCATGAATTTCGATATATAATATGTAACATACAAGTGTTTCCCCATTTTTAATACATGTGCTTATTCAGGCTTGTTTGTGGATGGTGCAGATGGAAACGACTTTAAAACGGGACTCTACTGTACTGAAGTTGGAAGATTTGAACCAAAGGTGTGACTTATTTCTACAGGTTTGTGTTAGGTTTATGTCTTTAATAATCTTCTTTTACTATACTTATATTGGCATACAAAGTATGTGTGTAGAACAGCTTCAACTCCTGATATGTGACCCAGAAACTTATAAGATAACAGTTCTTATACACTAATATGCCGTGAGGTAAGTGTCATGGGAAATAAATTGGTTTGTGTATGAGACATTTGCTGGGGTAGAAGAGTATTGTAAGCATGCATATTTGACAATGTAATTGAATTATTGGTTCCCTTTTTTCTTTGACCCATCCTCTCTTTTCTGTCTTTCGTTTTTGTTGCTTTCTTGTTTATGTATAGTGCTTCTATATAGAAGATTTTTGCCAGTATGTTAAGGTTATGTTCAACAATTTAAACTTATTTTGATACTTTTTTCTTATTCTGAAGAAAAGGTACTGGTATGGTGTACCAGTCTGTTGTCACAAAAGGGTACTGTATGTATGTACCACGTTTATCTCTTTAATGCTTAGTTCATCACTGAAGTAATACTTGAAAGTGGCAAAATTGTTGAACCAACATGTGGTTTTTTGGCTTGTAACATCATGTAGTCCCATCAACTCTTGAGGCAGGGGATTCCTCTGAAACACTGGTAACCACCTAGAGACCAGACGGCCTCAGTCCAAGTTTTCACTGCCACAAATATCTCATATCTCAGCATTTATAACTCTTTGTGGATTATATCCCACTTCAAGTTCTGCCCAAATTGTTTATATGATTCTGTTTCAGGGAGTTCAGTATGCTTGTGAAATTAGTCACTTACTAAAAACCGTCACAAATCTTCACGTAACTCTCGCAAAACCGATGACTAAAACTTCTGTGTTGGCTCTGTGTAAATTAGTTGAACTTCTGAAAGGAATTCAACACATGTATCTTCACCACAACATGACCATTGCTAAGTCAATAAACCATGTGGTTCAGCACTTGGCATTCCAAGCTCTCAGCATCATTGTTTCAGCAAAGGTATGTTTTCATTGGTTTTCAATCAAATCTGGCCCTTTTATTTAAAAGTGACAAAAAATAAATAAATACTTGACCAGCTTAAAGTTGAGTTGTGAATCAGATTGTGTTTTGGATAGAGTAGCTTTGCAAAAATGGAACATTTTCCTGTAGTTATTAATCAGATCAGAGTAAAAAGGAATCATCACATAATGTAAAAGATTAAACCAACTTTAAATTATTAAAAGAAAGAATACAATAATAATTAAGAAAAATGTGTTCAGAAATCCCCATTTTCTTTACAACTTTATTGTAAAATCATAACTATAATCATGTTTGTGTGAAATCTGTTATTGTAAATGCTTATATACCTCGCCTGTTCCAGAAAGGCGTTGTCCAGGACAAGAGGTATAGTGAGAAACATCTTGACATTTTGTCATCTCTTGTGCTGGCTGAAAAAGTCTTGTATGGACCAGGTACCAAAGAAAGACGCCTTATTGCTTGCCTTGCTCTCTCCACGGCCAATCAGATGCGAACATTTCGTGATGATGAATGGGCAATTTTAGTAGCACTGCTCCACAAACTCGACATGATGTGTGATATACAGGAGAAGGTTGCATCTGCTTGTGACTGTTCATTCTTCTACTGGCACAGAGTTATACTGCCAACATATTTTGCAAATCTTTATGAAAGTAAGGTGGACTTGCACCGTTTAGCGGTAAGAACTGGATGCTTTATTACTTTCTTAAATATGTTATTACTTAGGTGCCACTGTGTGTGAGGTACATAGTGTTTGTAAAATTCAAGTGTGGGTACAGATACAACACATCGTCTTTATATTCCATTTCTCTGTGCTAGCCTTATTTGTACACTGCTTTCTGTCGTGTTTTAGTCAAATCATGATAATTCCATTTCTCTGTGCTAGCCTTATTTTTAAACTTCTTTCTGTCATGTTTTAGTCAAATCATGATCCACATTTTCATATGTTCATCTGTCTCTGTTTTTTTATCATAAATTGTTACCACTCTAAATAAAATTATGTTTTGCTGCAGTTTGGTCCATTTGAAATGTTTTCAGTACATGTTCTGTGCCCTGAGGGACTGCATTCTGGCAATGGAACGGACCAAGCATAATTCATCGCCACAGGTCTTGAAAGATTCCTTTGACAGAGAAATCTGTGGATATCTCAGTGAACAGGTAAAAGTCATTGTGAATTATAAGTTATTTCAAGAATTCCCAACTTTTTTCTTTAGGGGGGGGGGGGTGACAGGCAACCAAGAACAGCTTGTCATTTATTAATTTATAGTGGACAGTGTATGAATGTACTGAAAAGATAGATGCATGTTGAAATAATTGCATTATGATCGTTTTCTCGCTTTTGCTATACCATTTGGCTCAAGAGGAAATATTAAAATAGTGTGACAGATAAGCAGACAATTATAAAACTGAGCATTTTAAAACTCATTATGAATATTCTAAAATTCTCATTGACACCTCAAAATGATTCTGAGTGCACCAAGGTGCCCACAGATATATGGTTGCTGATCACTTATATATTTGATGGGGTCATCCATTTGAACTGAATCAGGCAAACCAGGTATTGTGATTTTAGGTTCTGCAGCCACTGTGCCATGATATTGAGACAAACCTGAGGCTCCACGTCCATTCACATCTTCAGTTGGACGATAGAAATCCGTTTCGTGTGGGAGTCATGGATTTTACTCCTTTTCTCAGGTTGAAGCCCTTGCGGTTCTTCAACAGATATATTGACATCAGAGGTAAAAATTAATAAACACATTTTCTACATTTACTAAATTTCATTATGACTGTTGCTCATGAATGTTCTAAACATATTGCCAACTTTATTTTATGAAACTGTTTGGATGAAAGTATACATTCTTCTCTATTGTCTGATACAGGTTTTGTGGAACATTACTTAGATCAGACATTCTACAACCTGACAACTGTGGCTCTTCATGATTGGAAGACCTATGGGGAGATGCGTAACCTGGCGCAACATAACTTTGGCTTGGCTACTGTCGAGGATCACCTGCCTAGTCAGACATTAGAACAGGTAAATCTGTTTGCATACCAGTATTTTAATTTTGGATCCAGACCACGAATAAAATGTTCACTCTGCTGCTGGCTTGTTTCTTAGTCCAGCCATTTTTAGCGGTACACAAACATTTTCTGTTTTGCACATTGTGATAATCAGTCTGCATATATTAAGGAATCACAAAAAGATAGCTATTATCTAGTCACAGAAGATGAAACTGTGTGCTCACAGTGCACTGTAGAAGAGACATTTCCTGTCATCTCAGAGCATGTTTCCTGGTTACATATGGTAGACCGAAGAAAACATATTACACTTAGAATTTACTATAGTGTTACAGTTACCATATGTTGAGTTCATTACTATAAATGAATTTCATTGCAGGGTCTGGATGTTCTGGAGATCATGCGGAATATTCACATCTTTGTCTCCAAGTATCTCTACAATCTCAACAACCAGATATTTGTTGAACAGTCGAGCAACAACAAACACCTCAACACCATCAACATCCGGCACATAGCTAATTCCATCAGGACTCATGGCACTGGGATAATGAATACAACGGTAATCATCCGTTTAACTTTTTTGAAGTCTCACATTTGTTATGGTTGTAAGAAGGTTATATTATAGATTAATGATTATTATATTTTATTATTTGGGATAGACCAAAGTCTTTGTTGTTTGTCATTTCCAGATTATTTAATACACTCTCCCATATCTGAGCTTTGTCCAGAGTATCGTATCTGACCTTGGTCAGATAGCCGTGAGAAGACAGAGAAGGTCTTCCAAAACACACTTGAACATAATTTTATCTTCTGTCACTAGATGGTGCATGTACCTTTCAAAATTTCTTAAACACAGAAAATCACATGCCATTAATTTTTTATTGTGTAATACTGCAGAATGTTGGTGTGCCATTTAAATAGCCGGGCTGAGAAGTAAGCAGGAAATGGAGTACCTGGGAGTAAATGTGTTAACATCAGAGGTATTGTTTATTATTTTACTAATGTTTCAGGTAAATTTTACTTACCAGTTTCTGAGGAAGAAATTTTTCATCTTTTCCCAATTTATGTATGATGAACACATCAAGTCACGTCTGATAAAGGACATACGATATTTTCGAGAAAATAAGACTCAGCTGGAACAGAAATATTCTTATGAGCGAGCTGACAAATTTAACAAAGGCATCCGTAAGTTGGGTGTTACTGCAGATGGACTCAGCTACCTGGACCAGTTTCGAATGCTGATCAGCCACATTGGTAAGTTGGGTGTCACTGATGGATGTTACTTAATCATAGTGCATTGACTGTTATATTCTGATTGTTACTTTGTAACTTATTGTAAGGGAAATATTGTTGTATTGATGAATATCCATATAGTTTGGTTCTTGTGATAATGTGTGGATGTTTTCCTTTCCATTCTGCTAGTCTTTAAATGAACACAATGAGATTTTTACCTCCAATATATTGTTATGTTTAAATTAGGGATGTCAATTTATACAAAATTTCATATTAATATTGAAGGTGGTCATATTGATACCAGATTTGTTATTGGTTTAGAAGAATTTTATTTGCTGCAGGATTTAATTAACTTCAGTCTTAAACTGAAGGTGGTCATATTGATACCAGATTTTTTATTGATTTAGAAAAATTTTATTTGCTGCAGCATTTAATTAACTTCAGTCTTAAATATAATATTTTGCCATTGTTTATATTATAAATTATTGTAAATAAATTTATATTGCAGTGTAAATTTCTGGCACTAATTAAAGCATTCTGTTTAGATGTGAGTGGTAAGTTTCATGGTTTGCTGTCGGCATTTTACAAACAAAGTTCCATCTGTAGTGTTGCCTAAAATATTCTGCAGAGGGTAGGGTTGAGATTTAAATCTTGAATCTAGAATTTTATTTCTTAATAAATAATAAAAGTATCAAACAGTATGTTGATGGACTAAATTTATATTGATATCAAATAATTACCTATGATTTTGTATTGATTGATAAATGTCAGACAACCCCTAATTTAAACACAATCATTTAATATTGAAAACAAATCATAAACTTACATGTGATGGACAAGTATAGTAATCACAACAAATTAGTGTCTAGCTAATACTGTGATCCAGGCAATGCAATGGGCTATGTCCGGATGATACGGTCTGGAGGTCTTCATTGCTGTTCCAATGCCATTTGCTTTGTTCCTGATTTGGAAGATATTGTAAGCTTTGAAGACCTATGTAAAGAGGCTGATCTCTCTAATCAGTGCCGGTCTGCAGCTCACCGCCTTGATCAAGTCATAGGAAACTTAGTTCGTAACTTTGCAGAAGGAACAGAGTATTTCAAGGTATGTGTGTTAGAAGTGTGAGAAATTGCAGTTAGTAGTACATGAATGATTTTTGATACTTTGGTTTATTCTCATGATTATTTTTATCCAATGAAGTACACACTTGAGCTTCATTTAATGTGATTTCATTTAATTAATTTCTATATTTACATGAATAATAAATTAGTAAACACCAACAAATAATTTGTACTCTTACCTCATTTGTGAAGTTTATAATATCTCAAAATTTGCGTATTTATAAATATATTAAGCTGCCATTTTTGGCACTCAGTTGTGTGTTAATAACAAGAACAGGAATACCAACCTCTGATGGCTAAATGTCACATACATATTCATTGTTATTATATCTCAGTACACACCCTTGTTAGAAGTATGCTTTACAAAGAACTTCTGTAAACATCATCCCACATTTTAGGTTTCCTGAAATTCGTTAGATGAAAGTATAATTGACTGCTTCTGAGTTGGTAAAATACAAAATTATTGTATGATATGTGAGCATATATTGCATCAATTTAAATGAATTGTCAGTGATCCATATGAAGGTTACAAGTGTATGTTACTTTTGTTCTTTTAAAGGTATTTATAATGCAGATGAGAACTGTAGTAATTCCAAATGCCATGTGAAATAGAGAAAGAGGTCTGGCAAGTTCTTAGTTTTTGTTGAATGTGGAAACATTATACTGGACACCATGGACATTAACTCTAAACAGAATGTTAGTATTTGTAATATAAATTATTCACACAGAATTGACAGATTGTGAAAATATTCCCAGAAAACGTCAGTTAGAGGTATAAAATCGTGATGCAAGCAGGCCACATTCACATCAGTATTGGCAGCTCTCTGCTGGGGTTTACATAGTAGTTGGGAGTTACAGCATTACACTATACAGTAAATATGTTATGTTAAAATACCATGAATTCTGGTAAGTTACTAATGCTGTCTTTCAGTACTGTAGCATACAGGGTGGTGCCATAAAAGCTTAAGTTTCAGAGAAATTTCAGATACTACTTTTCTACACTTAATTTCTACATTTTATAACGTGTGATCATTTATAACTGAAGCTCTTTCCACAGGTTATGAGGTATAAATATATATGGTTAGAAAGAAAATTTCATAAGCTTTACAGTGAGCTGTAGAATGTTTCTCTCAAATGCATTATCAAAGGTTTTATTAAAAGAGCGACCTCATGTACCTGCTTTTTTTTTTACTCCAGTGGGGGTGATTTTTGTAATGCCTAGTATTTCAAGCCACTTAACAGAAATTAAAAGAAAGTACATACGCCCACATGGTCGGTACTGGGACTAATATGTATGCCATATTTAATCACAATCCTGGACTTCAAGGTTCAGTAGGTGTGTTGGTTTTTCATGGAATTACTGATAATCAAATCAATCAGTCAATAATGTGAATCTTGCTGTTTTTATAGCTTCTGGTTGATGTGTTTGCTCCTGTGTTTCGAGACCCAAAGAACATGCACCTTCGCAACTTCCACATCATTGTTCCTCCACTTGCAATCAACTTTGTTGAACACTCAATCACTTGCAAGGAAAAGATGAGCAAGAAGAACAAAGTTGGAGCAGCATTCACAGATGATGGGTTTGCAATGGGTATTTCTCAAATACTACAATATCACATTTAAGAAGGCCTGATCGCATCTCAATATTCCGCTTCGAAAAGCATCGCGTCCCAATAATTCTGTGTTATGATGACATGGCTACAACTGTTTTCATACAGCTTATGTTATTTATCAGTTCAAGACATTAATCTGTCAAAAGATGAATTTAGAAATTATGCCTATTCCAAGCAATAGTTTCACCCTAACCAAATGTATCTGAGCCATAAAAGGTCCAAAAGATACAAGTATCAAGTAGGTCCTCAGTAGTGATAAATGTCATATATGTTTTAAATTTTTATTTTGTTTCATGTGTTCTGTTGTAGTAACAGTTTGAAATTAAAACAAAATTACTTTCTCTGTGCAGACAGTCATTTTAAATTCACTCTCATCCATTTGCATAAATATGGTATATGTGACAATAATTTTCAGATTTTAATACAATTCACATTTTTTATTTTAACAAAGATTTAATTTTGTGTATACTTTAGAGGTCCACTGCATTCTTTTCTAACATTTAATGATTGTATTTTGAATGTAACTGTTGTTTATTTACTAGGTATAGCTTACATTTTAAAGCTGCTAGACCAGTATGAGGAATTTGATTCACTACATTGGTTTCAATCAGTGAGAGACAAGTACAATAAGGATAAAGCTTCCCTTGGGAAACACGGATCAGTGGTTTCAAAAGAGGATGAAAAGTTGCAGCAGACAATGACTCTCACTGCAAGGAGGTTGGACATGTATCAACACGTAAGTTGAAGTTGGCCTCAACAAGTATCAGAAATGCAGCACACAAGTACAAAGAGGCTTTTTGTATGTTTTTCACATAATAGGAGACCATTTTTCTCAGCCATTAAATACAAAGTGAAATAAGAATCAAGTAATGATGGTTGATATATCTTAGCTATAGTTTTCTGAGGAATAGATTAGGCCGTAACACTTAATAATTTCTTCTTTTAATTTTCTCTTAACATGTTGCATACCGGCCTGTTTTAAAATTTAAATAGTCCTGTTCCTGAATATTTAATGTTTCTTCCCTGAAGCACTATATTTAACAAACAAAAACATGCTTTTATTTCTCCCTTGTGTGTGATTGCTTTAGTCTTGTGAACTATCAGAAGAATAGACTTCCTGATTTGACTGGACACTTCAGTGTTTTTGGTGATGTCCTTTTTATGAATTTTGTGTGCGGTACATATTTGATTATACTGTGAATGTAGACAATGTATATGCATTTAGTATTTTTTTTAACTTTTTTCCTTTCCAGGAATTTGATTTGTTGTACTATAGTCTCAGTAGTGCAAGAATATTCTTCCAGAAGGAAAATTCCACACTAGAAGAGGAAAATATGAAGACTGAAGCTACATCAGCAAACAGCTTTTAATGTTTGTCTCAGTGACACTAAACAGAGTCAAGCTTCAGGAGTATTGTTTACAATTCATTTTGAATGTTAAGTTGTTTATCAGAGACTTTATTTGCTGTCAAGATTTTAATGAACACATTTGCCCTGATCTTTATATTCCATTGTCTTATGTTTTAAATCGGTCAGATTAGGTATCTACACAAAGTGAACCTAGAACAACACGGAGTCATACATGAACATAACAAGGAAAAGCCAAACCACTTTTCTCGTCATTGCTGCTGACGCGAGGCAAGTGACAGTGATCGCGCACAGTGGAATAGCTGTGCTCCGGTGTACCCACCATATCCTTGTACCGTCGACAACACATGCATTTATTCATGTTTAGTTTTCTGTGAGTGCTGAAAATATATATCCTTATACATTGTGTTAACCCTTTAAGTGCTGCCATTTCATAGGTGCCTGTGTGAGCTTTCTTCCCCCCCCCCCCCCCCCCCACACACACTTTAATTCCTGATCTTTTTGTGTTAGTATGTTTTTATTGCACACTTCTCTGGTTACCTTTCAGTTTGTGATCCCTTACATAAGACTTTCCACATAAACAATATTCTAGTCTTGTTCTGCTGATAGTGTGATGCTTTTTACAATATTGGTCAAAGCTTTACACAATTAGAAATGAAACATTCCACCCTTCAAGACATGGATTCTGGTACTAATTACAAAGAATGAAAAGGAGGGGGTGAGAGAATTGTAGTGTTGAAATGGAGAGGAGTGTGGAGAAGTTACTGCTAGGCCATAAAATCAGTGAAGACTAAGAACTGATATGGTACTGTACACTGTGGCTTTCAGGGATGGTCCACGTCAAATGTGTCATAACTGATGGTACTGTACACTGGCTTTTAGGGATGGCCCACATCAAATGTGTCATAACCGAAAGCCGAAGTTGTACATTGAACTCCAGCCATGAAAACAAATTCAGTGATTTGATACTGACTGCAAGTCAGATCACGTATTTAATTTGTTTTGTAAAATGAGTTGCTAATGTTCAAAATATAAGTAGCTGGAGACATTGGTTATGCTGTGTTGCCAGAACCAGAATTTTCCTGCAGTAAAGCAGCTTACATGCTGAATGTGTTGATTAATTGACAAACATTTCAGCAAGATGTGACTACAAGCAGCAGTTCCTTAAAACATGTTAAGTTCTACCCTTATCATTTCTCCTACAACTGCCATTGCACATGTTGTGTTAAGGTCTCCCGAGCACTGAAATTTCTGTACAACAGAACATATTTCTTGGACTATAAGTTTAGTCATATTATCTTGTTTTATATGTTCCCAACCACACCACTAGATCAAGTTGAGAACAGCTTTACTTGTTGGCTACTTTGTCCTTGAGGAGAGTATGGACCTCAATGCCAGTCTGGCATGTGGCAAAATAACATTCTTGTCCTACTGGGAATTGAAACCCAGTCATTCAGCCCATCACTTAGTCAGTATACTGTCATTGTGATTAGATTAACATGGCTATGGTAGCCCTTCACAATGACAGTCTTGGATGTTTGGTATCTCCATAACAATAGGGAATATTTGAGTACTAAGGAAATAACACTGCTGGGAATTTAACAACAAATTTGTTTGTTCTGTATTCTTAACCTTGCACAGTCAAAGCCATTGGTACCTGAACCATGGCAATATGTTTTGGCTATCGGAAAGCTGCCTTCGAGCTCCTATTGTAGAAGTTTGAAAAATGTCATGAACTAAATGTGACTTGGCATCCTTGCACTTGGCTGAATGATATATCAATCGAATGTGAGTTATTAAAACGAGTAAAATTATACCACGTGCCTTTGCACCAGTAAGTAATATGATCTAAAAGTAACCTAACTTAATATAAAATCGTCTTAGGTTAAAACTGGTATGTATATTGCGAGCACTATAACATTACAATAGAAGTTTGTGGTATATGTACAATTTCCTCCAATGTCCGGTAGTAAAGGTGTTAATTACATTATATTTATGTCAGTATTGCTTAATGGTAATCGACCGATTGACTTTAAACTTGTGTTACTGAATGTATTTTATGAGTGTACACCAGCTATTTCGAATAGTATGATGAATATTTACGTCATTTGCATCGTTATCTGAGGGCATGTCGATACAATTTTAGTTTGCGATCATATGAGATTCATTGTGGGTCACATGGTCGTGTCTAACAGTGCTCGGTATCATTTTAACGTTTCCTAAATTTACACTGTACGTTGTCTACTAATTCGAACTTTCAAAGGCTGTCGACCTTTCTTATTACTACTACACTCCTTTGCGCATGCGCACGAGTTGCAGCAAGTTGCATTTGAAAAGGAAGTGTTTGACAGGTGCGTAACGTGGAAAAGTATGGATATGTATGTGTTACATTAAGTATAACATAAATATGTGCAGAAACGAGGATCATTGTGTTTGTAAGTAAGTGAATTTAACGGACAGAGTGTAATTCCGGAAGAAGAAAAGCTGTAGAAAATGGAAGCTACCTGACACCTGGCTGTATAACCGTCAGACGTGAAATTACAAGCAACATGGCTTCTTGGTTTATATGAGGTACTGAAAATGTATACTAGAAAGCAGATGTCGAGAAGTACGGGGGGGATTATGAATGCTTTTTTTCGTGGGAAAAGAAACTTCGTATTGAAAGTTATGTCATAATGCTGAAATCTGGCCAGAAAAGGCCTAGTACCCCAAACAAAACGAAATCAGGTGTTACAGGTTCCTCCGATGGTGCAGATCACTGGAGACAGGGTGTTTGTGAAACAGTAATCACTGCTCGACCCGACGGTAGTTTAAACTTCTCAGTGCATGGTGGATCTGATAATGGAGAGTTTGCTTACGTGAGTCATATAGTGCAAAATAAAGTGAATTATGTGAGTGGAAAATTAAATGAAGATGGTATTCTACTGGAAATTCAGGGCCAGAAAGTAGCAGGATATACCCAGCGAGACGTAGTGGCGTGGTTAAATCACTGTTGCAGAAATGGAAATCCTGTGGTGCTGAAGACAATTGATGCAGGTGAGTATGAGTGAATCACGTTTCTTACAGGTGGTTTAATATAAGTTTGTAAATCAGGTATGTCAGCCTCCAGGTCTACTAAGAGCTGCTTAAATAGATGTGACTTCTCCAGGGCCTGGGGTGAACCATAACCGTCTATTTTTACTAGTTTCAAGCTTAAGAATAAGATTTATTTTATTTTTCGTTCTATTTACATGAAATTAGATTACATGCATTCCACAGGTCCTGGTTAATTGGGGTGCAGAACAAGTCAGTTTACAGATAAACACAATAAACAAGTCAGAGTAGATAATGTCCAAGACTCATGATGCATGTAATTTATACACAAATGAGAAATTCTGTATAATTATTTCATAATAAATGTTACATATCCATAAAGAATTCGCATCTGCCGTTAATTAAGATTCTCATCAACAGAGTAGAAGTTATGTGGCAAAAGGAATTATTCGAATAAAAATAAGCTGTTTTCTGTGACTCGATAGCTTACTAATGTTTGAGTAGAAGTTATGTGGCAAAAGGAATTATTTGAATAAAAATAAGCTGTTTTCTGTCCCTCGATAGCTTACTAATTTTTGAATGTATAAGAACCAAATATCTGTGTTGTTATAGTTGAGATCACAAAAAAATGCCAGCATCTTGATTTCAGTTTCTGTTAATTTGTATTGATAGTTATTTATTAATATGTGTAATCATTATTAGTAAGTACTTGGTGTAAAATGTAATAATTATATAATTTAATTTCCTTTTTATGCAGATTTGAATACTTGAATGTGTAAAGAAAGTTATATGTTGGGTTTTTTTAGGGAAATATTAAAAACTCTGTTACCTTTGTGTGTTTACAGGAAACTTTTTAATGTTTTGAAATGCTGTTTCCCCCTTACAGTTCTATTTCCAGCATGTGAAGGAAGCAGACCAATGAATACTGTTGGTTGAAACAGAGTGTTTCATAGTGATTCATACAACTGTTCCTGGGAGTCTTATCAGTAACTGTGAAAATTGCCTTTGCTGCCATATTCAGGTAATCAGTTCCTGTCACAGATTTGGTGATCTCTCTGCAGTGCACTTGAGCATTGAAATGGAGGTGATACGTTCCTCCAAAACATCCACAAGGAGTCACAGCGTAGAAGACCACAGTTAACAGTTCTTGTCAGATTGTTGTTATTTTCTCCCTTTAAGCAAAATGATGGCACTATAAGAAATATCATCTTCCCCAAGCATCAAATGACCAAGTTTCTCAGTTACGTTATCACTGTGTCATTCATATTAAATAATTTGTATTTATGTTGTGAATGTGTAAAGTTGTATGAATCATTATGAAACACCGTAGTATTAAAAAGTTGTATGAATCATTATGAAACACCATAGTATTTACAGGGGTAATGGCCCTTCTTTAAATGACATTTTCCAAACGTATAATGAGATAAGAGTGGAGAATAACTGCTGGGCATGCTTCACCGGATGTGAAAGCTTTGACATTTGTCATTGCTTGACACATTTTCTACTGCTGTCTGATGTTTCAGAAATTTGTTCGATTTTGTGGTATTTTATGTGTTGACTCAGTAAGTCGTGCAGTTCGTTTCATGATACGTACATTCGTGCGTAATTTATGTGGCATATTTACTTCGTATGTTGTGTCCATTATGAAGTAACTCATGTGAAAGAGCTATTAACACATAAGTGACATGAACTGATCTGTCAGATACTTCAGCTGAGACAACTCAGGCTTTATTGTTTCTTGGTGGGTGGGGGGGGTTGTATTTTTATTGAACATGAAGCAGGCCCTTTATACTCATTGATTGTGATGCCATACATTTTTAAGCGCAACCAGAGCTTCAGAGATGCTTTGAATAGGCTATTATAACACTGATGTATAAAGTGAAGCATTTGCTTGTGATTAAATGAAACATTTTGACTGCATATTAAGACCAGGAACAGTTAACACAATGCTGTTAACTTGTGTGTGTGTGTGTTAAGTCCAAAAGTTCACCCTCGTTATCTGCGTGGGCCAGGGCTTGGTTGAAATTATCATCGAACTTTGTATGAAATATTTCGGGCTTTCTCGAGCATTTCTTTTTCCGCAAAAAGATAAGAAAACGTTATTCGAAGTTGCCCTCATTTTACGCTCGTGACACGGCCGAGCTCCAGAAACAGTCCACCGACTTATATGTGCCCCCACCCAGAAATAGTTTGTGATGTCACCTCATAAACTTGGCGTCCGATGTATTTTTACTGTTCCTCAAACGTCAAAATAACCGCATATGTTTGAAGATCGTCGCCAAATAATTCATTCAAAGATTACTGGCATTTATGCATAAAAACATTAAAAATGATGCGATAATCAGGGCAGATAAATAGACGGAATTAAAGGGTGTCGGGCTTTCGTTGGAATCGTCCTCGGGTGAAAGCTGCATTTTAGTGCATAATGAAATGGAATATTGTACAATAGGAGGAGATTGAACTGGGTATGACATTAATTGTGGAACACCATGTTGTTGAATTTCGAATCTCACCTCTGAGGTAATTAGTAATCCTTGTGTATAGGAATCAGTTCAGGAAATGCCGTTGGATCTCTCGTCATTGTATGCCAGTTTTAAATAGGGCTGAGATAAATACAGTCGTCTTTCCTATAACGCGATAGTTGCCCTGCTGAAAAAAACCCAGCGGAACAGAGAGTTGCTGTTATCAATAAAAAGTAACAACTCCCTCCCTAACTCTGGATTATCGCGTAGCTTGTAGTTCGTGGGAAGGCAGAGCTGTGTATTTCGGTCCATGGACTGGCAGTTTTTATTTGTCCTGGAGCGTAATTAGTAACTGGGAATATTCCGTAGGGGTGATATGACGTCGCTTCAGTTTAAACCCACAGAAAGGCCTTCATTACATGTACAGTTTTGGTCAGTCTTTGTGGATTGTTATTTGTTGTGTGTGGCCGTCTGAAAACCCATTGCTGGTTTAGCACTCCGCGAATGAAAAGTTTAGAAGCATTGTATGTGACTCCAACCAGAGTTTTACTCCTATCCCTTAGTGGATATTTTTAGTGTGTGATTGCATTTGCCAAGTGCGCGAATAGAACTCTTGAGGTTGATTGTCCTCACAGTTTGTTCGCGATATTCACCAGCGCATGAAGGCATTTATACTGTGATGGTGACTTACTGTATTTTGTGTGAAATCTGTATTCTTTTCGTGAACTGTGGACATTGCTGGAGGAAATGTAGAAGCAAGAGCAAGGATAATTAATAGTCGGTAAACAAGTCAACGGCCGGCAACATTACCGTGCCATGTTATCTGTGCCCTATCCTAGCCAATCCCCTACAGTTTGTCCCGAAAGTAAGGCAACGCGTCCCGAAGTTAAAGGAGAACATTTTGTTGGTGTAACAGGAAAATTTAAATTTGTCATGCCCACTGGCAACACTGGACTTTTGCCTTCGTCAACAAATCGGCGGTGTGACGCAGTTTCTTTGTATTTGTCAGTCAGTTGTTTGTGTGATATATACCACGCCGTTCTCAACAATGCAGTGTGTGTTTGTTGAGCACATTTGGAACGCAGTCGGATGAAGCAGTTAAACAGGCAAATCCTGTGCACTTACCCGGAGACGCTGCCTCAAATAAACTGTGAAAATCCAACGACGCCACTCTGTGAGGAGTTTGTAGGAGTGGGGCGAAACGAGTCGAGTTGTGTTTACAGAAATGACGTTACTGTAATACATGATATAATATAGTCTTAACAAACAAGACATTCGTCTTTGTGTTGCGTTACTTTAGGGACTTACTGTACTAATTAGTTCATTTGTAGGATAGCAGTGTTGAAATTGTTATTCAACCCAGTTAAGTATACTGTGTGTTGCCTTTCACTTGTCGTTGCGTGCGTGGTTTGCGTTGACTCCATTTGTGAAGTTGCGGTGAAGTACTATTAACGGTTTACTTTAGATAAATTCCGGGATCACTATCATTTCCTGTCAGCTCGTGTAACTTGGCGAACTAGCGTAATTAATTGCTAGGAGATCTATGAGTAGTAGCCTCGCGTCTTGATACGCGAACCCCATTAAACAATGCTATTTAATTAAATCGACCTTATGTGATTTTCTTACCGCACAATGGCGCATTGCGGCCCAGGACTTGGGCTACATAATAATGCGATAAGATAACAGAAGTCAGGCGTTTCGAAAAATACTGAGACATTTAGGAGCTGCGAAGCGCTCCATATGGTTATTTACTTGGAATTTCTGTGGGACGTTTAAGGATTTGTGGCAGTCATGTTCAGGATTTTATTCCGATGAATTAACATTTGAGATTTGACGTTCTCACGCTGATAAACAAGAATATGCCGCGTATAATTGAGAATAAGAACCAAGGTGAGGGTTTGCGATTTAGTACAAAAGTTGGTACCAGCGAAATTTCTTGACTCTAGGACTGGCTTTACACGTTTGAAGCGAGGGACATTTGAAGTTGCATAGAAGGATTTGAAGTTTTCTCATCGCCCTGATGATGGAGGCAGCTAAGACATCTGAAACGTTGGGTAACTTATACCAGACTACACAGTACTACAACCCAGAAGATGGTCATCATCTGAGATTGCATAGTCTACACAAATACTTTAGAATTGTTGCATTGTTGTGTTTGGATGCTCGACGCTGATGTCTGACGTCAGTGGCATTGATGAATGCGAATGGCAGTGGAGAATGTTGAGATTAATGTCAGGAGAAACCAGGGGCGAGGAACACTCGAATAAAGTACGTGTCGACCAATGAGCTGTCTGCACTGAACTCTCTCACTCGTTAGTCATAGTTTTTCGCAAAAGTATGCATTCCCTGTAATGGAGTTACAAGGATGTCTGTTTCTGGGTTGTTTCGCCATGTAGTCTGGTAGAAGTATACCAACGTTTCAGAGGTCCTTGCTGCCTCCATCCTCAAGGAGCCAGTTCCATTTGACTTCCGTTATGCGCTTCCGCTATCCGCGATTATATTTTTTGGTATCATGGGCATACATTCGCGGCCACTGTGGAGACTGTCATACAGGCGCAGTGAGTTGCGCGCGCAGTTTCATTAACACGCCCCCATAATTTTGACTCCTGAGACTACATCACCCAGAAAATCCACGGTCATGTAAAACGTTTGCCATTTTACTCGTTTCCGATATACGCGGCGGCGATTCACAGGAACGCATCCCACCGTAAAGGCGTGTAAGCTGCAGCTGCCTATCTTTCCAGTCAAATTCCACGAAACATAACCATGATCGTCTCGTACGGATACACCCTCAAACTCCAGTGGGTCAAGCCTGAGGAGTGAGTCGCCTGCTGATGATTAACTCCAGGCATGTCTCGTATTGCGGTCACAGTTAAGAGTTGGAACGGAACTGGCGAAGGACAGGAACTAGAACCACACAGTTTTTTAATTGGTGGAAGAGCGAATAAGTGAAAATTGTGTTGCGACTTGACCCCCTTTCTTTCTCCGTCTTACGGACAGCACAACCAACCGGTATGGCAACGTTGGGTTGGCATCTGGTTTCCATCTGCCTTGTGGTGTGTGTTCTTTAGTGGGAGCGTAGAAGGGAGTGCGAGGCAGAGCGGGGAGAGAGACGGGCGATGGCGTGGGGCTGAGTAGATCAGCACATTCCATGATTCATTCGTAATATCATAGGATAATGTGGTAGTGGGCAGTCGAAGAAAACCTCGGAAATGTGGGAATTGGAGTGCAAATGGTGAGAATCCCATGTTGTGTTGTTTTAGTGTCGGCCCCAGAAAAGGGAAGCGTGGGGGCCAGCGTCGTTCCTCATTGCAGGGCCTTGGGTGGCCAGCCTGCCTGCTTACAATGACCTTGACATTGCAGTGGCTAAATGTGCTAACATGAGTATGTAAGAAAAGAACCCAGAAAACTGTTATTTAACACAGCATCAGGTGTGTGTACTCAGACTGGCAGCTTTGAGATATTTCCGAATTCATTTTCCTTCCTTTGCCTGTATATACAACACCCCTCTCTTCCAACGATCATTTTCCTTCATTGCTCAGACACTCGGGTTGAACTTTTTCTTACAACGAAAATTATAAGTTGAATCTGTTCTAAGAAATGTTCATCTCACGCTGGAAAAGTCAAGCATAATGTTCTGGAAATCAAAGACGTTCGTATTTTGTGATTAACACTGTTTTACTTTCTTTTGAAAGGACTCTTTCTTCACCTGGAAAATGACAGGAAGAATCTCCACAATAAATATCACAGTTGCTTCCATTATATAAGACCATTTGCACTGACATGCATGGTGTTTTGGAGGTCCTTTAACTAAAAACTCTCTATAGGAAAAATATCCTGTCATTTCACTGGCAGCTTGAAATTTCCTTCAACAGAAACATAATGATCTCTCCCCCTCCCACCACAGATTTTGCTGCCTACTCCTGTAGATTGCAAATGTAAAGAAATGTGCCATTTATGGTAGGAAAACCTGTTTTCTTAACGCCAATATTTAGCAGTCCAATAGTATTGGAAGCTGAAATGAAGATACCACTTGAAGACCTGGGCATAGATGAGATGATAATATTAAAATAGATAAAGATTGCTGTCTTCTGAGTTGTTGCACTGTGTAGTCTGGTAGATGTCCACCAATGTTTCGGAGGTCGTGCTGCCTCCGTCATCAGAGTGATGAATGAGCCGTTTGGCTCTCTTGATCCGAAGAGCTTCTAATCTCCGAATGTAGCTATGAGTAGCCTCTCCTTAGATGTTTAGTATGTAAGGTTTTAGGTTTTCACAGTGGTGATTCTGCAAAGTATATTGTGGTCTGGAATCTTAGAAAAGTGAAGTTGTGCCAAATGGAATGGTTCCAAATATCTTCTTGGCAACTTGTCTCTGAGGCTACAGATGCATGCCAAGATCTTGACATGTTTTGAGGTGGTTACAAAGTGTAATGGATGCCTTGTGTCGTATGCTGTTGAATTACTTAGGACTTGAAAGGGGGTCATACGTTTCTTATACTAAGATTTTCTACAAACATTCATATAAAAAAAAATATTGCCTCACTTCAGTGATTAAATGCTCATGTGCAATTGAAATTATAACTAGGTGATGGTATGTGTGTTTTTGTGTTTATTTTGGAAATCTGAGCACTCAGATTTTTGATCTGTTAGTTGAACTGGGAAATGAAGTTGAAATTCATTATTTCTGAATAGTAATATCGTCTGATACTATATAGTCTTCAGCTACTGACAGCATCATTAGATAAAGTATACGTGTAAGACTTGAGGTTCTCACAGCGGTGAATATGAAGATTTCTGTCTTCTGGGTTATTGCGCTGTGTAGTCTGGTCGATGTTAACCAACGTTTCAGAGGTCATACTGCCTCCGTCATCGCCCTGATGACGGAGGCAGTATGACCTCTGAAACGTTGGTTAACATCGACCAGACTACACAGCGCAATAACCCAGAAGACAGAAATCTTCAAAGTATACGTGGTTTGTGACCTGCTTGCTGATTGATTATAATCTCATGCAGTCTAGTGAAACGACCTGTTGTGTTTTTGACTGCAGTGTAACACGTTTCGAGATTTGTTTCACATCCCATAGTATTATCAGTTATTCCTTTGGATCTCTGACATAAGGAAATGAAGTGTTGACAAATGAAATTTGTTTTGTCTGTGTTTCAGGTGCAGTAACAAAAGATCTTCGCCAGTTCTTGAATGCAAGATTCCAGAAAGGCTCTGTTGACCATGATCTTCAAAACACGATTCGAGACAATTTATATCTCCGAACAGTGCCGGTTACGACACGCGCACCTCGAGATGGTGAAGTGAATGGAATCGATTACACTTTTCTCAGCACTGACGAGTTTATGGCATTAGAGCGAAGTGGAAATTTGCTTGAAAGTGGCATCTATGAAGGTATAATAAGATCCTATTTTATGTGTTTGTTTCGGCATGCAGATCGTTTGTCTCACTTTTGCTATCCTGTAACATTGATTCCTGTGGCAGGAAATCACTATGGTACTCCAAAGCCTTCGAAGGAACCCCATGTCTCACCGCCTCAGAGTAGTGGCTCCAACACTAATCTGAGTACAGCTGGTCTGGTGTTGGGTGCACTTTTTCCGGGTGCTCACCCAAGTTCTGAGGGGAAACGGAAACGCAACCGTTCCAACGTAGAAGCTATGGCAGCTAAGAACATGGAGCCAGAACCTATGGGTGGGCATAATTTAGTTAATGATTGTAATTTTTATTTCATGTCATTTATTCTTTTGCTTTATGAATCTGAATGTTGAATCAGAAGCTATTCTTTTATTATTTATATTTATTCGAATACTTGTGGAAGATATACGTCGTCATCTTAAGCACATATTGTGGGTTGTGCTGTTTTCAAATCAATTAAGTCACTGCTTCATTATCGTGGGCGTTAAACTGAAAGAGCCAGTGATAAATATTACATCTAATCAAAATGCAGGGTTCTGAACTGAGAAATACTAAAGTCTGGAAAGGATATTCTCGGTAACTTTGTGACTGAAATGTATAAATGCTTACAGTTCTGTGGTGTACAGTAATTTATTTTATGGTTTTCATTGTTTTTTTTAAAGACTAAAAATTGGTGATAAAATCAGTTAATAGAAACTGTAGCAAACGAAGAAGATACCTGTTATGCATTATGTTGTCAAGTACATGAACTTTCTGCATCTTAAGTTGCAAAGCTTTAATTACTGCCATAAATTAGAAGCCGTGAACCATATATAAAAAATGAATCCGAATTATTAAGCCATATTGGTATCTTGGGAAGTTTAAGTATAAATATTCTCCTTGTCCCGCCATGTCTTATCTCTGTTTCTAACAAATCAAAATTGTGTTTCCTGAGTTATGGTCCAGAAGATAGCCACGTTTGTACTTATCATTATGAGAACCTCGGATCTTACTTGGTGTATACTGATATTACGTGAATATATTCTAATTTCTGACATTGTTCCATAGGCCCAAATACAAACAAGAGCAAATATTACGCTTTGCCAGGGCTATCTTAAAAGTTGCATTGCCACTGCAAGATTCATGCCATATCCTGATCTTTATGCATTAATAAATGCCTTTACACATTGTCAGGGACGTGTGGAGGTGGTAGTGAAGAAGACCAGTTACCAGGGATGGGCTCTCCCCCAAGTTATTTCCATACCGGAGATGGACCCGACTCTCTCCGTTCTGATCTGGGCCCCCTGCCACCAAACTGGGAGAAAGCATATACCGAGAGAGGGGAGATATACTTTATAGAGTAAGTAACGTGCGTCGTCACATTTATCACTGTGTTTTTAAAGTGTCGCGTGTTCGTTAGGAACAGGAAAATTATAGCAATTGTAAATGCCTTGTCTTTAACAAGTAAATATTTTATGAATAAAGTCTTCTCGGACTATCAGCCGTGTTAGATGGTGATTAATCGCCGACTTTTCGAGGACCATCTCTGTCCTCATTCACAAGGCTGTTGACTGTGTGGCTCGTAGCGCAAGGCATTTGTTAGTGTAACAGTTTATTTAAATATTCCATACTCCGGAAAATATAGTGTGCTGTTTTTCAGTTCAAAATTTGTGTAGTCTTATGTTAAAACACGTGTTCCTCGTTTACTGCAGCCATAACTCTGGCACCTCTCACTGGCTGGATCCAAGGCTTTCCAAGTTTCAGAAGAAGTCATTGGAAGAATGTTTGGATGATGAATTACCATACGGTTGGGAGAAAATTGATGACCCGCATTATGGTACCTATTACATAGATCACGTTAATAGAAGGACGCAATATGAAAATCCAGTGATCCAAGCTAAGAGGGCAGCTGAGGACTGTACCAGTAAGTGTTTAAATGTAGGAATAGAGTTTAACAAAACTTCTTATGAACCTCTTTATAAGGATTCCGTAATAAATATATTCGTGTTCTTTACTGCAGATTTATTCAGGCTTTCTATTGCCAGGTAAATAACTACAATATATATTATATTAATCACGTGTTAGTGGAACTTTATATTGACTCGCCTTATATATGACATTATTCAGATTATTACACCTTGTGGTCTTGTAGATTGTTATATGTGTTTATCTTCACCCATCTCCCTGCAGATGGAAGCAGTGTGTTTCTCCGAAATGTTGGTAATCACCTACAACACAATATGGCATCACATCTCAAGATGCCATATGGTCACTGTTCTGAGATACTGAAGTTATGAGTAATGTAGCTTAATTTCTTGTTAATACTTCTCATCTTTTACGTTATAATTATCATATTTTCATACAGTAAAGCCTGTGTGTTATGAACATTGTTTATAACTAAAAAGTAAAAAAGTAAATCTCTCCCACTATACGCCATGCAGGCGCTTGGGGGGAGAGGTGATATAGCTCCTACTCTTTCTTCACCTCGGTACTAGATGGGGGTGAGTGGTTGGCATCACGCGCCGGCCGTGCTTTACCCCCGGGAAATGACCCCGGTACCCATTGGATAGGAGGCTGGGTGGGCCCCAGAGACGGTCTGGACGCAGAGGCTAGAGGAAAAATCCTCTGCCCTCGTTGGGGATCGCCCAGTCCATGACTGTCTGGTGGTGACAAGATGTAGGCTGTAATTTCTTCATCGTGAAATTGGTTATAAGAATGTGCATCCTTTGACTTTTGCTATTACATGCTTTTCTTTGTACAGTTCACACATTGATTCAAGTTTGGATTTTTTTTTTAACAGGTTCAAATGAACTAAAGGGAAGGAAAGCCCATATTATAACTGGACCGAGGCCAGCTGTTGGTAACCATTCTGGCGCTTCAAAACGCTCGAACAGTGAGTTTGTGGAATTAGAAACAATTCAGTTGAATATAATTTACAGTATGTAAAATTTGAATGTCTGGTTATTTCTGTTACGAGATATTAGACATGTGGGACTTGCTTTCAGATTATGACCGAGCTTTCTTCACACGAAATCCAAACGAACTGCGTGGTGAACTGATTCAGACGACGCTTGTAAAGTCCTCGCGAGGTTTAGGCTTCACCATTGTTGGTGGGGATGATACAGAAGAGGAGTTTCTGCAAATAAAATCTGTGGTGCCTAATGGACCAGCTTGGCTTGATGGAAAACTGCAGACAGGTATTTATCTCAGCAGATATTGATTATTTTTTACTGTTAAGAGTTCTGTCAGGTGTTTTGGATTGCATCAACCTGATTTTGATGTTAGATTCTGTAGACCAATGCGGTGACTGCGGGCGCCCGCCAAGGCTTTTTTTGGGTGCCCGCATTGTTACGGAAAGAGGTTATACTGAATAATGAAGACCGTTCAACCATGAACATTGTAAAATCAAAGCACAGATCTCAACTTACTGATGCCCATCTTGACGATGTGTGACTTGAAACTGGTCCAGAAGACCGAAACACACGCGTATGTAATATTTATTGTTGCAAGTAATCCGACACATGTGTAACTTGTCTAAATTATCCGCTACTTATGCTTGTTATATGTGGACAAATCCAAATGTGTCTTGGTTGCATTACCCCATTCGATTTGTCAGTCCATAGCTGCCCCTCGTGAAAGGAATCTAATACTTGAAGCTGTAGATGCACCGACTCTTAGAAGTAGAAAATTTATTTGATGGGTTTTATGTATCATTGTACATGTGATATATATTGTGAGGCCACATTGTAACAGTACTTCACAAAGTCGCTGATGCATTAGCCAGTTTCTGGATTCAAGATGGATTCACATTATCTGTAATTGTGTGTGTTTACTGTTCTGTTTTTATTTGACAAATTTGTGGCGCACAGGTGACGTACTGGTGTATGTGAATGAGACGTGCGTTCTGGGCTTCACGCATCATGACATGGTGAGCATGTTCCAGTCCATCTCTCCAGCGGAGACTGTCACGCTGGAGGTGTGCCGTGGTTACTCACTTCCTTTTGATCCTAATGACCCCAATACAGAAGTGGTCACAACTGTTGCTGTGAATGCTCCAGGTGCGTTCCTGCATAGTAAGACGCTTTCAATTTGCGTTTGCCTGGGAGGGAGAACTGGGGAAAACATGAAACTCGTGAGCCCGTCATGTGAATTCAGTCTGGTAACCTTCTGATTATGAGATAAGATGTGTACTGTATAACTGGTGGTTCCCTAGTACTATTCAGCAGTAAACCAATTCTAAAGGGTTTACTGTCATTTCAAGGGTTCTTACTGCCTTTGTCAACGTTGCCTTGACAATGGACGCAGTAAACACCTCTGAACGTCGGTAAACTTATAGCACGCTACGTGGCCCAACATCACAGATGACAGCTGTCTTCATACCTGCTACTGTGAGAACCTGAAGTCTTACCAAAAATGTAAAATGTGTTTTTATATTTTAAAATAATACCGTGAAGGTTAAGGGTTAAGTGTGGTGTCGCAACTGACGAGACTGGTAGATGTATCTGTGATGTATTGTTGATGGGTAAGGAAATGCAATGCAAATATTCTTTACTTTTGGGTGTTTAAAACTGATTATGGTTCTAATTTCTACCGTGTATAAATATTTGGTGCATGGAAAGAAGAGCTGACTTAAGTCATAAAATGTATTTATTTTGACATATGATATTCTTCCTGAGCCCCAAAGAGGTATGGTAACTTGATACATGTCCATTTATAGGATTAGACATAGTTTTGCATGACTGAAAGGGCACTTTGTGTACAAGAATAAAGGGAAAGTTTAAATTGCACTTTCGTGTAAGCCTATATATATATATATGGTAATTTAAGAGACCAGACTATTTTTGAGTAAACGTTTTTTCTCCCTTCTTCTTCTGTGAGTTGGCAGCTTTTCGTGATGAAGTTTAGTTTTGGTAATATGAATTGCTGTATCACACTTATCACCAGACCAAAAATTTCTTTTTCTCTTACAGATTAAATATTTCATTTTTATAATGTTTTACTTTTATTCACATGCCTATGCATTAGCGTCAGATTAAATTACAGTAATATTGAGGGTCTCCAGGGAGTTTTTAAATTTCGCCTTTGGTTTTCTTGCATTTTTTCCTCTGTTTATTGCAGATGCAGACCCTAGTCTGTACTTGGATCATGATGGTAGCCTAAAGGGTAGAGGCTACGGCTTTCTCGATGTCTCTTCTGATGGTGTCCATACTCACAATGGATCAGAAGATCTGGTGAACAGTTCCGTCAAGTCAATGCCTGATTTGTGCACTTCTGAGAAAATAAAGAACATTCAGCGTCCAAATAGCACAGACGTCCTGTTAAGTGATGTGTCAGGTTTGGGTGACTTTATTGACCAGAGCCCTGGAATGAACAAGCCTGAATTTCTTAGCATCTCCATCGTGAAAGGTGCCATGGGGTTTGGCTTTACTATAGCTGATAGTGCATATGGCCAGAAAGTGAAAAAGATCCTTGACCGACAGAGGTGTAAGAACTTGATGGAAGGTGACATCTTGGTGGATATCAATGCAATTAGTGTGCGGAATATGTGTCATGGTGAAGTGGTTCAGGTGCTCAAGGATTGTGTAAGGAATCAAGAAGCGACAGTAACGGTGCAACGAGGGGGTCCCGGCTCGCCTGGCAAGAACAAGCCTCGGAAAAAGGACGAGCCCGGGTTAGCCGTGGGTCTTGGCGGTGCAGGTAGTGCTGGAGGCAGAAAAACTAATGCCGCCGGTTCGACAGCGGGCATGTATCGCAGCAAAACGCCCACGGCAGATCTCTACAGTACACAGCAGAAGGAAGTGATTCCTAATAGGCCCAAGACTCCGTTAGTGGACACGAGGAACCGTCCAAAAACTCCCGTATCAGAGCGAGACAGGAGACCTTGGTCGCCTTCGGAAGGTGTAGGAAGTGCCTCTTTAGATGTAGGATTGGGGGGGACTGGTGTGTCAAAGTGTGAGGAGAATGGGGCAGATGGTATTAGTTCCTTGCAGAGTCCATCTTCCCCTCTTACTCCTCCATATGATAGTTACAAGACTGCATTTTCCTATCCAGATCCATATGATGGTGGTGGTGGTGGGAGGAGTCCGTTAACAAATTTGGGTGATTGTCTAGGGGCAGCTACACTTCAAGATCCTACGCGACCCATACAAGGAGACTACGGCCACAGCAGGAGTCTCGGAAATGATCTGGGCCGAGATCTTGATCCTGATTTAAATGTGGACTCTGGATCTTTACAGCAGAGGGATGGGTGGAATAAAGTCCATGACGGACGTTACGGAGATTCGTACTCGTCGGAGAACGTCCCTCATTCTTCTGGTACTGGGACCTATGACAGTACCGTAGTGGATCATGCTAATATGCCAAATAATCAATCTCCGTCAAATGACTATCTCACTCCATATGTGCCACACGCGTTTTACAATGGTTATGGAGGCCAGTATGATGCAGGTTATGTTTATGGTTATGCTGATGTTCATTCAGGCTACGTGCCTCACAAAGACTTTGGATACCCACACCCAGTATCTGGGTATACTTCTCAAGGGCAGAATATTACTGGTGGTACAGTTACCCTGGCTAATTCGGGGTATTATACAGCGTCTGATGGTGCCAACAAAAGAAAGGAAAGTACAAGTTTTGAACATGAACAACCACATCCTAGCACAGTTACAAGGTAAATACAAATGTTTTCATATTGTCATTGGAAAACTATTGTTGAAATGTTTAAATATGTGGCAATCAATTTTATTTATAAATCATGTTTTTTTTCTTCTTCAAACATTGCATAAGTCGACAAAAATTTATTTGGTGCTGTTGTATTGTTTTCTGGTGATCCCTTTGTCTTCAAAACTAAGTGAGGTCTGGGGCATTTGTTCTTGCATGTAGATATCCTCGAGACTTGAGGTGGGTGGGTCTTGGACCAGGAGTGCACATTTACCCAGCAGGACCTGGCCTAGAGTGGGTAGAGACATCAGTTACTCTGGTCCGACAAGAGACTGGATTTGGTTTCCGTATTGTTGGCGGGACAGAAGAGGGTTCCCAGGTAGGATCCATGGTGAGAAGAGAGTCATCCAATGCTTTCGGCACTAGGCATGGCAGTAGTATAGCCCAGCCATTGTTTTACTTTTACTTAGGACTTGAAACGTCATGTAACACAATATAATGATACAACAAAGTCCATTGGGTTATGGAAGTATGGAAATTTCTTTCTGGGGTGAGATGTGACCATGAGCTGTGTTGAAAAGTAATTCAAAATTTGTTATAATTAAAAAGGAATTTAACTGTGTGGCTGTCTAAAAATATAATTGTTTGAACTGGTACAAACTCTGACTTGGCTTTACATTTTGGCTTCAGACTTTGACTTTGTTACTGAGCTGTGACCCTTAGACAAGTGACGAGAAAGATGGCATCCTGTGACTGTTTTCTCCTCACTTAAAATTAAAGAAGCTTTAAAGCAATAGATTTGAAAATGTGGAAACTTTTTAACAGCAGGTGGAGCAGCTGTTGATTTTGAAAATTGAGTAAGAGGTGCTTTCAGTATTGATAGGGGCAGTGAAATAAGTGTGTGCAGTACATGCTAAAGGAACCTACTTTAGAAGGTGGTTAACCTCATAGCCCTATAGGAACAGTGTCTTAGTTTTTACATGTTCATTCTTGTTACTTAATTAGGTAAATTTTAATAATATGATATAACTCATATTCAGACACGTGAAAACATGTCAGTCTTCTGGGTACTAACACCATCTGGTCTTGAAGGTAGATACCAGTTCTCTGAAACGAACTTCAAATCTAATTTATGAAAACATTATATTCATTATACTGTCTTGTGGAAGATTATTATGTGCTTCTCAATGGTATATTAATGCATGGCATGATTATTCTACTCATGTTACAGGAAATTAAGGGGAAAAAAGTCAAAATCCTTGGAATACTTTTTCTTTTGTTTGCCCAGTTATTTTATTTTTATTTTCTGTCAAGAATGTCCTCACAGTCTGAGGCATGGGCCTTGTGCTGCTTGGTCACTGGGACCGTGGGTTCGAATCCCACTCAAGCCATGGAAGTCTGTCCACGTTTTCTGTGTTGTGATTACCTGTGTACAGGTAGAGGCCTTGCGATGGGCTGATCCCTCATCCAAGGAGTCCTACCAAAATGTCTATAGATCAAGCCAATGAAAATTTGGGACCCGCAGTGCTCAGGCACTTGAAGAACGGGTCGTTCCCAGTATCCCAGTCAAGAATGTGTACAACAGTTGCACTGCGAGTAATGTAATGTACTTGTCACCAGGTATCAATTGGGCACATTGTGCCAGGTGGTGCAGCTGATCTGGATGGAAGGTTATGTACAGGAGATGAAATTGTGAATGTAGACTCACAGTCAGTACTCAGTACCTCACATCATCACGTGGTGCAGCTCATGGGGAAAGCTGCGGCTAATGGCCGCGTCACTCTCGGAATCAGGAGACGAATTCCTACACAAGGTAATCGGACTGCTTTTTAGAATCATCTTCAAGTAGATAATAGCTTTCCTTGCTGCCTCTGTTATCATCACAGTACTGCAGTAAACATCTACCAGACTACACGGTGCAACAACCCACAAGACAGCGACCTTCTGACTCACTCCCATGAAAACCTCACATCCTACATATTTTCTTGTTGATGTTGATCTTCTGGGTGTCAGCCCGGAACATGGAGGCCATATGTTTGATCAGAAGATTGATATCTACCCACAAATCCACACATTACAATCCAGAAGACCAACTTAAATATCTTCTACTTTAAGGACCTAAAGTTTCCTTTCTCTTTTTGGTCACTAGAATAGTAAGAAAAGTTACGAATTATGGCGCTGTTCAGTGTGTAATTTTCTCCATTCCCTATTACTTCATCTGTCTTATCTCCTAATATTCTCTGAATACATCTTCATATCAACTGAAATAATTTTGATTATAGTGTTGTCGTCTGTTATGCTTCAGATGTGAGCAGCTACGCAAGGCCAGATATTGGGTATCCGTATGATGTGACTGTTACCAGAAGGGAAAGCGAAGGATTCGGTTTTGTGATAATTTCATCCGTAAATAAAGCAGGTTCCACCATAGGTATGTAGTGTTTATTATTTTGCAGTATAAGTGGTTCTCGTCGTTTGCCAAATCATTGTTTTTGTTTCTTCTTACCACATTCGCCACCATCTGAACTAAATTTCAGTTGTTTTCGCACAGTCAAGTGTGATGGACATTGGCCGTTAAGTTATATTAGGAGTAGCTTGCTGCTAGTATGTAGCAGACAGGGCCATTTGCTTCTACAACATTAGTTAGGGCTCACACTAAGAAACTGGCTGTGTATCTGGTAACTCATTCATATTTTGAATTTAGAGCAAATGTATTTCAGCTGCCATATAATTTTCTGTTTGTGAAAAATGAGGAAGATTGTCAGAAGGTGGAAGAGAATTAATTGGTGTATGTTTCTATTTATTATTTTACATCACTTTTGTACAATTTTAGAACATTGTGTCATTGAGTAAAGGTGGATTCGATAGTGGTGGATTAATTTGTGAACACGTTTGTCGTAAGACAGTATTCTCAACAAGACGGCTATTTAGTACAGTATCTCATTGTGGTTTGACTCAACACAAAGAATTCCCACAACTGGCTTGTAACTAGAGCAAATGTGCCGTGATTGACGAAAGTGGGCTGTGCATTTGTTACGATGATGGCAGTGTTGTGTCAGTCTGTTTGTCATCGACATGCGTCTGTGTATGCTGACCGCCCACCAACCGAGGATCTGCTCTAACCAACTGAACCCATCTGTATACGACGTCTTTCTGCTGTTTAATGTATGGTGTCGGACTGTGAACCAGTCTTTCCCAGGTACCAGTAAAGGTGCTTAATTAAGCACCACACCATGAATACTTATGGAAGATTAAAGTTAATAGCTCCACCTTCTTAACCTTGGCAGTGGATGGAGGTAAGCGCTCAGCTTTACACCCCAGCTACTCTATACCTGAAGAAAGAAACCCAAAAATATTAGTTGGGTAGGTTTCAAAGGTTATAGAGAAGATAAAGATCTTGCCTTAATGGGAATTGAACCTTGGTTGTCCAACCCATGAATGTTTAATTGCATATATTGCAGGTCGTATTATTGAGGGCAGTCCCGCTGAACGCTGTGGTCAGTTACATGTTGGTGACCGCATTCTGGCAGTAAATCACATTGACATCATGAATCTCCATCATGGAGACATTGTGAACCTTATCAAAGACTCTGGCTACACTGTGACGCTTACAATAGGACCTCCGCTTGGTAATTGAATACAGAGTTTTTCTCTCCTAACTTCAATAATTTTTGAACACATTATAATCAATCAGGTCTACTTTCAATACAAAACAATTTTGAATTGAACGCTATTACAGCAATGCCAGTTATGCAATCAGTTATCAAAAATCTCAGAAACAAATGATTATCAATTACATTGTGTGTGATGATGATACATGGTTTACCTGTACAATTGCTTATATTATTAAAAGTGGATGTTGAAGAGTAAGTAAACTTAAATCAGATGAGGGGACTGCATTTGTGCTTTTAATTCCCAGCCTTCAACAGAACTGAAATGACAATCATGTGAACTTGTGGGTTGAAAACAGTGCTATTATCATTCAGAATAGGATTTTGAAACATTTTAATTATTTATCGTGGCATTTTTATCTTTTTGGATTTGAAATCTTATGTGATTTTGTTTTTCAGATGATGCATCCAGCACAGCATCAGTGTCTCAGAGGGTAAGTAACTGGATATGTGGTACTTGATGTTCTCATGGCAGTAAAGATGTCAGATGTGGTCTTCTGGATTGTGAGACCATATTATTCTTTTTCTGGTTCATTCATGGAAATTTAGACTTAAGAGCTTATGATTCATTTACATGCTAGATTTGGAGCCTTTGTCTAATGATATGTGATGTTGGTATTCCATATTCTGATTTGATAGAAACCCTTTATATGTGATAGAACAAGCATTCGGAAGTTTGAAATAAATATTTGTGGTGCAGTAATTTGAAGTACCACTTCATGGTACAATATTTGACAGTGCCACTATTCAGTGCAGAGAGAATGTATTTGGATTTCGCTCATGTATCAGATTTTGTAGATACCACCTGAGGATGTTACTGGAATCAGAATGGGTTTGGAGCAGTGTTGAAACCTACATTTTAAAATGTAACTAAATGGTTTTTTGTTTGAAGTGAACAAATCTGTTGTGATTTGTTATGAAGCATTGTAAGGTATATGGTTTGCCTACCAACTTGAATTGTGCATTGCGACCAGGAGGAGGAGACGACTGGAATGGAGGAGGAGCAATATCACGCCGTAGAACTGAGTCGTGGGACACGAGGCTTTGGATTCAGCATTCGTGGTGGTCGAGAATTTCAGAATATGCCATTGTTTGTCCTTCAGATCGCAGAAAGTGGGCCGGCTGCCATGGATGGTCGCTTGAAGGTAAGTGATACAAGATATATTTTCACTTGACTGAGCCCAAGAAACCTGTTTTCTATGCCTGTATCTTATGATCCTTTTGTCTTGTAGATTGGTGATCAGATTATTGAAATAAACGGTATTAACACAAAGAACATGACTCATGCAGAAGCCATTGAAATAATCCGCAATGGAGGCCCGTCAGTGAGATTATTGGTTCGTCGAGGAGGGAAGGTTCCTCCCCCTCCACCAGTTGGAGGTAAGAACGACAGTAATTAGGATACTGCAGTCATAGTTGTGGCACATGACAGAGGGTGTAACTTAAAGGTGTGGTACAAATGTAAGGATGAATTCTACATGCAGAAATAATGAAGAGTTAAAATGAACATTGGCATGGAGAAGCCTCTTTTTTTATAAATTACAGCCAGATCTTCCTTTTGCAAAATTTCCAGTGTGTTGCTCTCCCTTTGCACTTGGAATGATACCAGATCTTAAAGACACTACAGGAACATTCTGCATTAGGCTTTGGAACTGTAGGAACTGTAGTGACACTGCTTTTTGCTTTTATATGTTTTTGCTGCACAGATCCAGCCAATGCTCCAGCAGTGAATACGAACTTACGACCAGGGAGTTCATTGGCTCAACCCAACGGGCCAGTACGTCATAGTTCTCCCTGTGAAGCAGGACTGGGAACTGTGTACTGGGAACAGCACTACAATCCCAGTTGACATGGCCTTTGTACAATAGATAATGTAACCATCGAAGAATAAACATATGTAGAGATGCTGTTGGTGTAGTATGACAGTTTCAGAGGTGTAAGGGAAGGAAGATGTGCTTGTGCGGCATACGACCAGTTTAAGTGGCTTATTTTTGGTCAGTGTTATGACGTGCTAGTAATGAGAAACTGCAGTTTTGGTACATGTGGGTTCTTAACAATCTGGAAACTGTATTCGTACATTGAACCATTAGAAAGTAATAGGACAGCTTGACAGTGTTTGATCTAGTCAGATGATACTAGCCCACTGTTGCATGCAGGACTAACAACTTTGGTAAGCCACACAACTCTTTTTCTGGCTCGTGGAAATTTAGACATAAGAGCTGATGATTTATTTATGCTTGATTTGGAGCCCTTGTCTAATGCTGGTTATGTTGGTGTTCCATATTCTGATTTGATGGAAAACCTTTATATGTGATTGAACAAGCATTCAAAAGTTTGAAGTAAATGTTTGTGGTGCACTTCATGGTACAATATTTGACAGTGCCACTATTTGGTGCAGAGAGAATGTATTTGGATTTGCTCATAAGATTTTGTGGATACCACCTGAGGATGTCACTGGAATCAGAATGGGTTGGGAACAGTGACTGGCTGAGTGTTAAAACCTAGAATTTAAAATTAGTAAAATCTCACTCTGTAGACGAC